AATCCTCCTCACATGTCCACAGTGTAATCTCAAATAATAAAATTTGCAACGTCTTGCAGGACTCAAAGTAAACAAAAACCAAGGAACAGTTAATATTAAGATCGCCGAAACGCTCACACAATGAACGAGTAATAATGGCGCCGAAATTACACACTTCACAGATTTTCAAAGGCTGTGCATATGAACTTAAGTATTGTGCATAATAAATGTAGGTGGATATTGTTTAAATTAAAAACAAGCAAATTTACTCTGACTAGTATCTTGGAGTAATTTTTTCAAAAAGAGAAAAAAATTATTATATACCTGAAATTTGCAGGAACAGACCACTCGGCCGGCTTACAATGCATCAAAAACACAACCGTTGAATTCACTTTAGGTAGATCTTTCTCTGCGTTGCAGAGACCCACCCCACCTTTCTTTTGTTTCACATCAGTTCCTTTGATGTTGCTTTACAACTGAATAACTTGTGGTCTCATGGGATAAATAACAGGGAGCAAAATAATAGCGGCGCAAAAGCGTTGTGAATACTGATTTTTCTTTGAAGGCTTAACATGCAATTATCGGTGATCGTCATCATATATTCAGAAATGGATATCTCCCGGACAGAGGTATCACGTGTTGAGATTAAACGTGAAGTTGACAGAGTTTCTACACTAACTTTTACTCTTACGTGCGACCTTTCATACATTGCCTCTATTTTATTTGCGAAAGTAAATTTTAAACGCACGTACTCACGTAAAAATTACGCGACAGTGGAAATCAACCCTAATTGTCAGTATGTAAATACATATACATTCCGCACATTATGGTGTCCGCCTTTTGTCCTCACTGCATATTGTTTGGTCTTTTTGTGGTACATGATCAACCCGACACGGTTGATTATCTATGAGAACTGCCTGCTTGTTCTGGGTCGGGTTGCGAAAAACATCTTAAGATTAAGGGAGCTCTTAACTATTATTTCAAAACAATAGGTTACGTATTGTTCCAGAACAAAAGTTACGAGCTGTCTTATCTTAAGAAAGTTTTATACAACCTGGTCTGGCGCGTCGGTGAAAGTTGCAAAGGGAAACCAGGATAACCAGAACTTGACTTTTCTTTTTCCTTCTTTGCTTTACGATCACAGTAGACGTAAATCTCATGAAAGTTTAACAAAATTTACCTGGACTGAGGGCGTGACTTGTGAACGGTAAGTGTTTTAGTATTATTACTTTGATACCGAATGGCTAACTGGTAAATTTGGAAAGTATCTCACTGATAAAAATGTTATTCCATATGCCTTCATCAGGTTCAGGACCTTTCATTACGTTGAGCTAGTAAATGAACACAGAATAAGTTAATTAATATAGTTCTTAATTATATGAAAGGAGATCATCGCAGTTATAGACGCAACTTTTGAAGTTGCGAAAAGAAAGCCTGAAAAAATTCAGGCTTGTGCGGGATTCGAACCCCGACCTCTGCGATACCGGTTTAGAATCCCGTACAAGCCTGAATTTTTTCAGGCTTTCTTTTCGCAACTGCAAAAGTTGCGTCTATAACGAGATAATCTTCTTTCATACAATTCTTCACCCCAAGAAAGTTTCAAGTAACTTGAAAACCATTCTTAAAACCGACTTAGCGAACTTGCGGTTTCTTGAGCTTTGAAAAAGGGGAAACATATCAATCAATTTTAATTATCGGTATGCTGCGTGGGAAAATAGCCCGCTTAAGTTAACCTGAAGTAAAAAAGAAACTGGTTTGTGTGTGAAGCTTCCTTTTACTTGAAGAATTTAAAATTTACTTGTCTTGAAATATTTCTTAGTTTATTTAGGCTCTAGTGGAAAGACTACCATTGTTCCATTGTTCTTTTCCGGGATGGAACCAACTGGTTCCACAGTTGATATTGGAGTGGTAAAACTACCACGGCTCACTAGACTAATAAATTATAGTCTTAACTCACTCTGAGCCGTACTATTAGTTTTATGAAAGATTGCAGACTATGACATAACGCAAACTCAACTTGTACTCAAAACAACTCCCCAAGTAATTTGCTCAGAGCGATTAACTAGAACAAAAGTCACTCCCGTCTCACGACCATGAGGCAAAAAGTAATTAAGTTGACCAAGTTAGCGCAACGTTAACAAAAGAACGGGTCACATTCCGAGTTTCCCTTGAGAGCCGTAGTTTGTCCTAGAAAATATTTTAGTTAATTGAGTGTTGCTAATTAGTGACAATCTGACAATCGCATGTGTTGAAAAGGTCTTCGGGGTGAGTTCCTTTGGGTGAATCCAAAAACGGATTTTAGATCTTAAAAAGGATTTAGAGTTCCTTTCGGCAAATCCAAATCCGCATTTTTAATTTGGTGAATCCTTTTTGAAACAAATTTCACTGGATTTTAAACTAGCCGAAGAATCCAAATGCAGATTAAGGGATTAATGATCTATGCTGTTCCATTCACGGTGGATCCGAAATTAGTCAGATCAGTCCAGCGGTATTTCCAGTTGAAGAATTCGCGTAGAGTTTCCTCGTTGCTGTTATTTGCCGTAAAACATCTGAAAACACAGAAAGATTGTTCCATATACTAACCGTTTGTCGCTTAAGATTGCTTAAAACACAAATAAATAATAAAGGGAGAAATGAAATGCTATCTGTTAGGAGCACCCAACGTCAATTTTCGGAAAATATCTCTTCGGAAGACGATTTGAGATCTAGAATTTTCGGAACATTTGTTGTAAAATTTCTTGCTTGCCTGCTTCTCCTAGGATTTTCGAACATCTAAAAAATGGTATAATTGCCCATTTTTAACGGATTTTTACCCTAAAAAGGTCACCTAGAATTTTCGAGAGCCTTTTTTCTAGCTGAAATTTTCGAAAAGGTAAGTACTGATCCCTTTACGGAATTTTCGGATCACTAGACTTTGAGCAAGGAAATCCGAACAAGTGAAAATTTTTTAGGGGATAAAAATATGCCTTTATCTATTGTTTAAATACTAAAATACATTTAACAATTCTATGTTTAAGAGGTTTTGAACTATATTCTCGTTGGGTGCCCCTGATCTGTCGACCAACTCGCTGGTAGACGCAATAGGCCTCGATCGTGTTACAAAAAAAGGCGAACTACGAAACTGGATCAAACTGAGCCGACAATCTTTAGATAATTTTCAACTTTAACGCCGGCCTTCTTTCTTGATTTGTTTTATGTTCCATTGCCGCTATTAGCTATTCGAACTGCCGACCACAAAATGCTGTACGGTATATATAATCGCATATTAATTTGTCAAACAGTAGAAAACACGTCATGAGTGTTGCTAAAAGTCGTGGGTGTGGGTGTGGATAAACTCGTGGGTACAAAGAGTAAGAAAAAAATGATAACCTAAAGTAATTGAGAAAAAAACTAATAACAAAAAGTTGTAAAATATTCATGAAACGACTCCTTGATTGCCCTTTTCACGGCTTCTTCTTCGTCCTCTTCCTGATATTTCCTTAGCCACGTGGGACTTGGGTCCCCTTTCACAACATCACTGTATAAAAGACATCTTGCCGATGAAGATTTATCCATACCTGAGCGATCGCCGCGAAATAAACGAAACAGACGTAAAATATGTCGAAACGCGCAATTTTAAAAATGCATGGGACAGCTCTGACTCGCTGAATGGATATAGCTGCTCACTTCTATTAATCTTTATTCGATTTACAATTTCAATGATCAGTGGAGATTTTCTATTCTAACACGATGGAACGCGATCACCGTGGGAAAGGGGAGGGAAAGTGAGGGGAAAAAAGGACAATTCGATTCGATTCGCTGAAAGGAACACGCCCTTTTTTTAATGCAATTCACGCTTTCACTAAACGGGGTTTACACAATTCAAAATTCAAATTTCACTCTAAAAAGGTCCACGCGAGTGAAAATCGGTCGATGTGAAGCGAAGACTGCGGACTGCGGACCAGGGGTAAAATGCAGACTGAGTGTAAAATGGAGACCGAGCATAAACTGTAGTCGCGGAAGGGTTTTTAAGGCCAAAAAAATCCCTCAAATACATGTAAACGATCACTTACTTTACATCTGCTTTCACAAATCTATTCCTTGCTTCTTTGAAACGTCGTCGACGATCCGAACACATAATAGCAATCTCAAACCTCTTTTTCCTTCTGAGAGACCTCACGCTTCATTTTTCGATACACGTGACCGTGAATTGGTACAACGCTACGATGTTTAAGTTTAAATAAAAGCTGCTGACCCAAAATACTGTGGAGAAGGAATAATGGCGATAAAAAAGAGAGTAAATCATTATGCGACCCTTGCCAAGCTAGTTCCCTGTTCCGCTGGACAAGCTAGGGTAACGCGGGTAACGCAGACTCAGTGGGTTCCAGGAAAAAAACCGAATTCCACATTGTTGTCTACTTGTCGTTTCTCTCATTTTCCCCGAGTGTGGTCTTAAGATTTCACTCTGCATTTTACCCCCAGCCTGCGTTTTACTGTCAGTCTGCAGTCTGCATTTTACACTCAGTCTGCATTTTACCTCTGGTCCGCAGTCCGCAGTCCACAGTCTTCGTCTGAGACACTGGCCGAATTTAAAATTCCAAATACCCCGTAATAAATTCAACCTCTAATCAAGCCAACTGGAGAACAGGCAATTGTTGGTTCGTAATATAATACACCCAATACTGGAAATGACAAGATATACGAAATGACTATTGAAGATCAAGTTCACTTTCATATCTTTATCCGCAGTTCAAAATATGATATATTTCATTTCAAATGAATCAACTATAAAAGTATCGCAGAGAGAATTAAAAAAAAGAATTGTAAAACCTGCTTGTCAAAATATTTGATTTTGCCCCATTAATAAAGAAAAGGAAAAGCCAACCAACAATCAGTATCAGCTTTAATTGGATGATGCGTCTATCTTAAAACAGCAACAACAACTGAAAAACAAAACCAGTTCTATCGTCCATTGTGACTCTAGCCTTTTTTTACCTGCAGTAAATTTCGTTTCTTAAGAAAAGTAATTATTTTTTCCAGGTATGGCAAAAAAAGGAGAGTACGACGGCCTGGATTCTGATACTATGAGATCATGCAAAGAAAATCCAACGAGAAATGCTGGTATTTTTTCCGTCCTTTTCTATCGGTGGGTTGGAGAGTTGGTTGCCATTGGTAACAAGCGTCCAATTGAAGATGATGATCTTTTCCCTCTACTTGACGAGGATAAAACTGAAACTTCAGCTGAAAAACTCAAGCGGACGTGGGGCGAAGAGAACGAAAAACGTGCTTCTACGACAGACAGAAAAGGTTATCGACTCTTCAGAGCACTTATCCGAATGTTTCATTGGAGTTATCCATTGTTTGTTGTGAGCACTGCTTTGCTAGCCGGCGTTTGTAATGTCCTTCAATGCGTGTTTCTGAGTTTCTTGTTGACGCAGTTCGTGAAGTCTTCCTCTTCAGACCGCTGGTTGACGTACATCTATGCTGCTGGAATTTGTCTAAGTTCATTAGTGCGTGTCATTGCCACTCAGCAATGGAAGTTTCATGCTTATCTAATAGCCCTCAGGTGGAAATCAGGAACAGTTGCTATCATTTATGAAAAGGTGAGTGAGGTACTTTATAGTGGACCACTTTTTATGTATTTGCGTTCATATTTAAGTACCCGAGGCTTTAGGGCTACCGTCACAGGTCGAAGTGACTGTGCCTACCACATCCACTTTCTTACATCTAGGGTTTGAATTAATTTTTTCAAGGGTAAAAGAGCTATTTAACAGCATTGAAATTGAAATTGTAATTGTAAGTAGCAACAGGGCGGTGCCTAGCATGGGTCTAGGGTCCCGTTTGCACTTGCCCTTTTGGGAATCAGCAATTGTTTTTAACTATTCTTGTACCTATAATTTATTAGTTTTATTTCCTTAATTATACGTCTTCTTGTAAATTCTATCGTGATTGCATCTTGCGCCAATAAAGTGTCAAAAAGAAAAAAAACCCTCCGGATATACAATCAACTCTTGCTGAGTCTTAGAGAGATGTCCGTCTTATAGAGAGTTAAATAAAGGGAGAAAAGAAAGGCAGGGACCAACTCTAGGTGTCCGTTTTACAGAGGTGTTCGTCTTATAGAGGTGTCCGTTATGTATAACGAACGGTTTAACGAGCTCAGTCTTTGCCCCCGTAAAAGTGAACAATATAAAATATGGAACAGAACCTCGATATAACGAAACTTCGTTATGGGGAACGTATTTTGCCAGTCCCTTGGCCCCCTGTTATGTCGAGGCTTCACTGTCATGGTAGCCTCCCCCGCAAACGTTCTTAGGGGTTGGTCACGCGTTCCTGCCCCACTAACGTCTGCTGAAACGAGTGGTTAAATTCCTTTCCCATCGTTCGCAAATATCGGCTGGAGCTCGCGTGCAGATTATCGGAGAACCAATCGGCGCTGTTGAATTCAAAGTGTTAACAAGCCAAACACATACATACAAGCTCGGAAGAATGTGATACGTGACAAATAGCTTGTTCCAGGCTCTCAGATAGCGGGGAATACGCGAAAGTAAAAGGCTCGCGAAAAGTTGGCGAGACGGGAAAAAGACAAAGGAAGGAGAGCCTGTAATCATTTCTTTTACCACCCTCTTCTGCCACTTTTGACACGTTTGAGATAATTAGATTTCGGCTGTCAAACTGTTGAAAAGTCATTGAGTTGGAATCTTTCTCAGGATTGCAAAGACATAGTCTTTTCCACGCCCCAAGTTCACATGTTTGAGAGCAGCTGTTCCTTCGTCAGCGCTCCTATGTAGCCCTATGTGCGGGAAATTTCGTAAACATTCCTTCAACCGACAGAAGTTACCATGTATCCCTCTATTTCACGCGGGTGGACGCCGCACGCCATCTTTCTGATTGAAAGGAACGACCTGCTTCGAGAGTGTTGATCAGTAACCTGTCAAATCTTACCAATAAGAGGGTATACCAGGTACCAGGAGCTGCTATACCGGAACGGGTCATTTAAAAAAATGATTACAGCTTCACCCGCCGCTCCTCTTCCCAGTTTTATCCCGTTTTATTTTCGTGTACGCCCTTTCAGTATTATCATTATTATTATTATTATTATTATTATTATTATTATTATTATTATTATTATTGTTGTTATAGCTTAAAAGAAGTTGTTTAGGCTACCAATGAACAACATTAATTCAATCAAGATTGCTTGCTGCTAACCTGCCATCAAGAGATCTTTCTCCCCTTTTTGTTTGGGAGACGAGGAGCAAAAAAAACGCCTCGTCGCAGGTTGGCTTGCTTTTTTTAAATAACGATATCATATTTCCTAAATACAGGTGTTGAGTTTGAATCAAGAAGATTTATTAAATGTATCAAGTGGCTGGATCATCAACCTTGTGGCTGGTGACCTTCAACGCTTTGAACTTTCGGCCCATAGTTTTGTCGACCTGGCTGAAGCTGTACTTGAAGTGACTGGTATCTCTTGCCTCATGATGTACTTATTTGGCTGGAAACCTCTGTCAGGAGTAGGCTTCATGGTCATTCTTGCAATGTATTACGCAGTGACTGGACAAATAAGCTTAAAACTGCGAACAAAAATTTCTCATGTTGCGGATCTGCGCGTGGATATGATGAACTCCATCCTATCTGGAATTCGTTCCGTCAAGATGTATGCTTGGGAGGGATCATTCATGGAAAAAGTGAAACGGCTGCGAAGGTATGTAAACGCACAACTCTTGCTCTCAAATAAATTGTTTCAAACGCACCAAATACAGGCTAGGACTGCTAGGGAGTCATTCTGCTACATCGATGTAAAGAACAAAACAAACTAAACAAACACCTGCCGCACTGCCGGTCGCAAATTATTATTTATTATCAGCTAACATGAAGAAGGGTCTCAATGGGGTGGTAGCTTTGACAGTTGATTGTTAATTTTCTCCGATTTTGAGGGTTGACGGTTAAATTTTAGAACTTTTGACGGTTGACAGTTATGAAGTGGAAATTTAGTCCAAGGGTTTACTAGTACGGTACTAATATTAACCTATGTATAAATTTATATCAACTGTTGCATGTTTTGGAGTTTGTCTTGGCCCTCTTTGGACAGCAGTTCAGTGCTTTTTGTTCGACTTGTCACGAGCTTTAAAGCAGGATTCGAGTTATAGAGGGTAAAATTGCATAGAAAAAATCAAGGGCACCCAACGTCAATTTTCGGAAAAAAGCTGTTTGGAAGACGATTTGAGACCTAGAATTTTCGGAACATTTGTAGTGAAATTTCTTGCTTGCCTGCCTCTGCTAGGATTTTCGAACATATAAAAAGATGGTATAATTGCCCATTTTTACGGGATTTTTACCCTAAAAGGTCACCTAGAATTTTCGGGAGCCTTTGTTAGCTTTTGTTTTTGGCTGAAATTTTCGAAAAGGTAAGTTTTGATCCCTATAATTTTCGGATCACTAGACTTTCAGCTAGGAAATCGGAACAGATGAAAAATTTTTAGGGGACAAAAATATGCCTAAATCTACCGTTTAAATACTAGAGTACGTTTTTTGCTCACTAAACTAGCAAAATGTACAGTGAATATCGCTTTGAAGGTTACTTTAACCGTTTTGTGTGTGGGTGTATCTGTGTTTCTTTGTGTTCTAACTGCATTTCAAGCCTGCGAGGCACTGTTTAATACCTTTTTAGAGCGACAGGTTTTCACCCAGATGAGCGATGTTGTTTAGGCCGTGTTGCAGTGCTCACATAGTGAGCTTGGGCTACCTGCACGGTGCCTTCAGAATTCAGTCGGTTTTTTTCTTTAAATAAAGTGAAAATAGAAGAATCTTTAAGTATGGCTTAAATACATCGATCATTCAAGGATATGGTAGCGCCTTAGCTGTCAAACTGCTTATAATCTCCATATTTTTACGCAAAAATTCAAAATGTACCGCAACGCCCTTGAACAGTTTTTGCAAATATTGAGGATACACGTTCTCTTGTTCTTCCAGGATAGAAATCAACCTGATCAGAATGAAAACAGTGATAGGGGCAATCTATTGGTCTCTCTTTTTCTCCGGTCCTCTAATAGCCACCTTCTTCTCCCTTGTAACGCTGGCGGCCACAAGAACTGAACTGACTGCCTACAGCACTTTTATGATTGTATCACTTATCAGCGCCTTAAGGACCACCGTCACGTGGAATATTGCAAAACCAGTTGGTATACTGGCTGACTTTGCTGCAGCACTGGCTCGTATCCAGGAGTTTCTCGAATTTAAAAACAAAAAAACTCACAAATACCTAAAAGATGCCTTCGGCGATGAGATAAGAGAAAGAGAGATCTCCAGCAAGACTAATTACTCAGGTTTTGATGACGTAAATGAATCAGTAACCCGGTCGTCTAGTAAAGATGTTGCTTTGCTATTGAAGAATGTCGCATGTAGTTGGACTGGCACGTGGAATAAGTTGACTTTGAAGTGGTTGAATTTATCCGTCGAAAACGGTGACCTCGTCTTCATCACAGGTCCTGTAGGTTGCGGCAAGTCGTCCTTCCTGTACGCTATTTTAAAGGAAATTTCGCTTTTGTCTGGCAGTGTATCGTGTCATGGTAAAATTGCCTGGGTCGGCCAGCAACCATGGGTGTTCGCGGGTACCGTGCGAGAAAATATCTTGTTTGGTGAAAAGTTCGACCCACAAAGGTACCTTTCGACAATCGAGGCGTGTGACTTGATCAAAGACTTTCAAAGATTCCCGGATGGTGATATGACGCTCGTTGGAGAGCGAGGAATAGTACTTAGTGGTGGTCAGCGGGCTCGTGTTGAATTGGCACGCGCAGTGTACTCCAATGCTGATATATATCTTTTGGATGATCCTCTGAGCGCAGTTGATGCAAAGGTTGGACAGCACGTTTTTGAAACATGCGTCCATGGATTATTACGCAAAAAAACTCGGATAATGGTCACGCATAATCTTCAGGTTCAAAGAGATGCCGACGACATTGTGTTAATGAAAGAAGGTACTATTTTAGAAAGAGTCAACTTTATGTCATTGTGGAAGTCAGATATGGGCTTGAATGAAATAGAGACGTACACTGATAAGAAGAAAAAAATTAACACAGCACAGGAGAGTACATTACCTCCAAACAAGTCAGGCGACCAAACAACCGTGGACGGAGAATCTGGTATGGAAAATGCCGAAGAAGATCGTGAAGTCGGTTCCATCTCTTGGAAGTTATATTGGCATTACATACGAGCTGGAACGGGTGCCATTTTAGCTGGGGTCATGTTCGCCTTTTTTCTTCTTGTCCAAGGTTGAGTATAAGTTCAGTTATTCTGTAAGAAAGTGTTTTATCATATGGCTACAATAGTACGCGCGTTCTGATTGGCTGCTTTCTTGTAAGGAACGGGCATTATTTTCTTGTAATGACCGGGTATTACTAGCTAGGTGTCCAATGCATATACAATCTGTGTTTAACTTGATAGTGGACATCCTTATGGACATCCATGTTATGGTCAGTTGACAGCTGTTAAAAAGGGCATCCGCTGAACAGTGTCACCTGACCTGACGGTATCGCCGGCTCAAGTGTACTGCTCAATGAGATGACGAGTTTTTTAAAGTTATCGGTTGACCAGTTGTAGGTTTTAATTGATCGCAGGCTCAGGTCCATAATGAAAAGGCCATATAATAAATAACTTATTAACCTCGTCCGTTCGGTCATTGTACCTGGGGGCCGGGGGCAAACCCCATAATAATATTGTTATATAGGGTATTTTACGCGGGATACGGTGTGGTATTGCAACTTCTTAGGCCCAGGCCAAACGTGAAGCAGAGTGAGTTACTGGGTTACTGGTTTTCACATCCGGTTAAGTTCGCGTCCGAATGAGTTTGGACTGTCCACTGACAACGTTCTATCCGTCTGAGGCAGACGGGAGATCGTCTCCGAGACAAACGTCTATCCTCACATGCAGAACTAAAGTATTAAATTAAAAATTTGTACGATAATGTATATTTAGCCTTGTTTGGGAGAAAATTTATTACTGATCTGAAAGCTGAATCCATTAATTCGAATAACTAGTTAATGATTAGACCCCATGAAAGTAGCTTGATCTGGCAAAACTGGCGACTAAAAGAAGCGCAAGACTAACGAATGAACCTGTCTTAACTTCTTTACATATTAATCATGAAGCATCCTTGGTTCTTCCCGACTGGTGGCTTCTTCAATTGACCAGTAGATCACATGATCCCCGCAGTCAAAGTCAAGATTTTTTCATATATGGTTACCTGGTTGGTGCAGCTTTCTTATTGTCAACTGCCAGAGCGGCCACGTTCCTGTTCGCGTTGATTAACTCATCGATGAACCTTCATAACTTAATGCTGTCGGCGGTGGTAAAAGCTCCAGTTTTGTTTTTTGACACCAATCCAGTTGGACGAGTGTTGAACAGGTTTTCCAGAGATATTAACATCATGGAAGAATTACTGCCAGAAGTATTCCTGATGGCCTGCGGGGTAGCCCTGTTATGCATTGGAGCAATCATACTTCAATCCGTGTTAATCCCCTGGATAATACTGCCAGCATTCCCGCTCATGGTTATTTTTGCCTTGATTGGTCGATATTACCTCAATCCATCACGTGACTTGAGGCGTCTAGAGGGAATCAATCGAAGTCCAGTGCTATCTCATTTGAGTAACTCGTTGGAGGGACTGGTGACCATTCGAACTTACAACAAGGAAAGTGGGTTTATGGAAGCTTTGTACAGGTTTGTGTTTATTAACCTTATCCTACAATACTGAAAAGACTTTTGCTGATATATTTCTCGATCTCCGATCAGGATTAAACGTATCGCAAGCTCCATAACCAAGAGCGAGGAATTTCTTTTATTCGTGTCACGGCGTTTCCACCGACCAATTTATTATTTTTAAAACGATTTTGAAACAAATTTGGAATATCTTTTGAGTTTCACAAACCAGTCATCAATAACTTACAGACCTAAAAATAATATTTTTGCCAATGACGTATTGTTTTCCATTTTTATATCTAAGCTCTTTAAGGGAGTGTACTTTCAATTTTCTCGTGAAAAAGTATACTAAGATGTATCTTAAAATAAACCGGTCCGTAAAAACGCCGTGACATAAGCCTAGTATGGGAATTGCTTGTTCTGGGTTTTGGGTTCTTGTTAGATGTCATTTATCAGACGCAAATTATACCACCTTGAAACATCCATATCTATAAGGACTGAGCCACTACAAAGCAGACTTTTCGAGCTTGATATAGATAATCGTTTGACTTAAAAACTCTCCACCAATCAGGGCTTCCCACCAGATTATCTCTTCCTGCAATAGAGAGCTTTAAATACACGTTTACGGCAGACAGAAAACGACAGATTCAAGTTGACAATTTCTCAAAATAGGAAATAAGCATATATGCTACTGTGAAAAATAATTCTTACGTTTGAACCCCGGCGCGAGCAGCCACTAGCCTGCCATCAAGCTCTCTATTTGGGGGAGTCGCGAGAAGCCACGCGTGACACGCTCACGGCTTCCGCTTTCTTGCGTGTTATCTAGCGGCACGCTTCGCTCGCCAAAAATGGATAGCTTCCCCACAGGCTAACCTTACATGATCAGTAAACGACATTCGTAAAGGAGGGACGTGGTCACGTGGTGCAAACTGGCGTTTGCTGTATAAACATGGTTTCTCTTTGACTGAAACTGGAGTTGAAGAATACGGGAAGCCCGAGTATGGGGCGTTGGCCTTTCGGGCTCAACCTTGTTCTTAGGGTTCTTTCCTACCCGTCTACTAGTAGAAAGAACCTGGAAACGAGGTTGTTTGGGGCTGAGCTTCTTCCGGTTGGGACGACAATGGATACCTTAAAAACAGGTTGGACACAATATGTTTATTACACAACGCTATACTCGTCGTAGAAAAACATTTATGCCAATTTACTGGGCACGTTTTTTGAGAAAAGTGCGGAAATCAGAGTAAAAGACAGTTGTGCAAGGAAAAGAGCTGAATACAAGGTTTAGCACCGAAGTTCAGTGATTAGGGTTAAGTACTGATTAAAAACGGTTAATAATCAATGCCATGTAAAGTACGTTAAAATTAACTGGTGTCGGCAGTTATCCCTTGATGGTTAGGGGATGTGGATTATACATCAAATGTTGCGGGTTCAAGTCCTACGCACTACCAACTGTTTTCTTCCGTTTTCGTTCTTATCTTATGACTCCTATCATGTATTTTGAGTGAAGATGACGACCTGATTCTGGTGTTTCCACTCTAGTCACAACCCTGAGTTTCCTCGGATCAGTAAACCATTAAGGGGAGTACCCCGGGTTTCTTTCAATAAGATTAAAAGCCAAACATGTTTAATAGCTTTCATCAAAGGGATTGAATACCCGGTTTTTGATTTGCTTTATTGTCAGATACCAAGATGACCACAATCGAGCCTGGTTTGCCATTTCTGCAATGTCTAGATGGCTAGGTATCCGTCTGGACGTGATCTGCGTCACCTTTGCGTCCTTTGTCGTTTATATTGCAATCATTACTCAGTCTGAAGCAGGTAAATTGAAACAACACAAATGACCAGCAGGGGCACCCAACGAGGATATAGTTCAAAACCACTTAACATAGCATTGTTGAACGTATTTTAGTATTCAAACGGTAAATATAGGCATATTTTTATCTCCTGAAAACTTTTCAAACTGAAAGTCTAGTGATCCGAAAAATAGGGATTATTTGACCGAAAAGGCTTTTTTTAAAATTTGGGTAATTTACCATTTTGTCGATGTTCGAAAATTGGCAAGCAAGTCGAAAACTCTAATCTAAACGAACAAATTTTCCCGAAAATGGACCAGTTAGAATTTGTTACCCATAATTGTCATAATTAAACACAAATTAATGCTTGCAAAGAGACTTTTCTGAAAGCAGCGTTTTAATGTTAGACATGATGGGTGAATAAATTAGCCGATAAAAGACATAAAAATACTGATAATTATGAAATTGTGAATTTCACAACTTCATGGTTTGACTCAGAGAACACTATTAATATTTTTTCCTAGCCTTATTATCGTACGTCCTATATTTTTTTACAAGTTCACTTGTAACATTTTTATAAGTTCTGATCTAACATTGTGTTTTACTGATATAAGCTTAAAAGGTAGAAGAAAAGGCATAAGAAGCGAAAATTATATTGTGACTAGCACTTTTTTTTTGGCAGGGATTGCAGCATTATCCATTGTATACGCCCTGCAGTTCGCCGTTGACACATCCCAGTATGTCGTTAGGATGTGGTCAGAAACAGAAAATTACATGACATCAGTTGAGCGCGTCGTCAAATACAGTCAAATAGAGCAAGAGCCTGGGTACCAGAATCAGCGACAGCCTCCAGAACACTGGCCGCAGTACGGTCAAGTACAAATAAAAGATCTGGAACTTGTTTACTACCACGGCGGACCCAAAATACTTCAAGGTGTCACTTTTACCATTAATCCACACGAGAAGATCGGAGTTGTTGGTCGCACTGGCGCTGGCAAGTCTTCACTGATTGCAGCCCTGTTTCGTATGCCTCAACCCACTGGTTACGTCATCATCGATGACGTCAATGTCAGTGATGTTAACATTCAAAGTTCTCGCCGAGCCATGGCAGTTATTACCCAGAATCCAGTTCTGTTTACGGGTACACTGCGCATGAATTTGGATCCTTTTGAGGAACACGAAGACAAGGAAATCTGGAATGCTTTGAAGGATGCGAGTTTGGGAGCCATGGCGAAAAATCTACCGCTGCAACTGAACCAGTTGGTTAAGGAAAGCGGCAGCAATTTCAGCACCGGAGAAAGGCAACTTTTGTGTCTGGCTCGTGCTTTATTGAGGAAGAACAAAATCATAGTAATGGATGAAGCAACGGCAAATGTGGATCACAAAACAGATCAATTAATTCAGGAAACAATTCGCACGAAATTTAAATGTTGTACTGTGATTACAGTTGCCCATCGATTGAACACAATCATGGATTATGATCGAATTTTGGTCCTGGATCACGGGAGAGTTGTTGAGTATGACAAACCAGAAATTTTACTTCAGAACGAAGAAGGGCATTTCGCTAAACTTTGTCGTAAGTATGCCGATGATAATGCCGACCAATATCAATAAGAACTGAATATCAGTTATCACATTGAACTATATTCTGCGGCAGACATTTTGACGAGTTTTACTAATCCTTCAAGGATAGCTATTTCCGTAGCAACTTAATGCTGTCAGTTCCTGAATTTACTCTTCAGTATACACAGCCGTATCTTTCCGCTATGCGCAGCTCTTCCATGGATAAATAAATTGTCTGAGATGGAAAATAAGTTTAGATTTGCTTTTAAGTCTGAAAATGAGTTTATATGTAGTATTGATGTACATTAACCTTAACTGGCCTGACCAGCTGCAGGCAGATAAATCTAATCCATGCTAAGCTATGCTAGGATTAGGAAATATAAGGTGACCATGTTTTATGATCAGGTTTTTTTTCCGACCATTGTGTTCTGACTGGCACAATTGACAGGAAGTAAGGGAACTTAAAACAACCCTTGGTCTGTTTAGAAAGAACAGCCCACTAAGCCGACATATGTTGTATTAGAACTGACACGATTACAGCCAGCAAGTTAATATTTAATTTCTAGACTAGAGTCTTAGAATTTTAGGTTAGCTATTATTTACGGTCAACTGCGCTAATAGCCTTTCGCAATATTATGTGGCAATCGCCCTTCTTGTACTAAGCAAGTGGCATTTAATAGAGGCGAATTCATGATGTTACACCATTTTTAACGGCTATTTCACTTTTAGTAATCAACCAGCTCTTCTCGAATTTTTCGGTTATAGCACGATATGACGTTCTTCTTTATGCAAATTTTTTTTGCTTATGGATAGTTCACATAACACTGTCGCGTACGATCACCTTAAAGTATAGCCCGCGAGCAAGCTCAGGTTGTCCAAATTCGGGGAAAATAATTTTAGCGGCGGAGACTAGTCACGATTCTTTCGGCTGAGGCGGAAAAGATTCACTCTGAATATTGAATAGTTTATATACTGAAGCGCGAATTAACAGAAGCCGGATCGGAATCTGACGCGTACTCAGTCTGTTGTCGTTTAAGAGGTGTTCTCGATGTCTTAAGTATATTTTAATCATACAATATTTTGTATTCGATTTGTAGTTACAGTATGACAAACTATACGGTCCATGTCTTTTTAGCCATAAGTTAATTGCCCTTTCTTGGATTATTGAAATTAAACTGAACAGTTTATAAAAGAGGGAGTATTTTTTATGTGTAATATTTGATCTATAATGATCTGCGCATGTTTTGGTACTGCATGTGCAGACGTGTGTCATTGAGCTCCGCACCAATAGTCAAATTTTGAGTAAAATTTTGATTTAGTGACTCGAAAGTCAAATTCAAATCCCAGTGCCAAATCCCTTCAAGAAGAAAACGAAGCTTTGAAGAAGTAAGCTTCTTACTTATATTCTGTATTCCAGTTAATCTCAGCTATGTTTTTAACGTAACCTTTTTTTCGTTCCTTACCTTTTGTACAACTTAATATAACTTTTGTGGACCTGTTAATTTAATATTATACCATAAGTGCTTATTTTGTTTTAAATAGACACTGCCCACCTAGACTAAGACTAGCCTTTGCTATTTGTGGGCAGTGAGAAAATAAAATTGCAAATATCTGAATAAAGCAATAAATGAAAATGAAATACAAATCAGACTTTTTCATTTAAGAAGGACCATATTATCTAATTACAATCAAAACGCTATTCAAAACGCTCAGTTCCTTGGCATTCGACTCCTGAACATGAGTCGCCAGTTTGGCGGCTTTTCTCTACAATTTGAGGTGCCAAATTTCATAAAATCGGAATATTTCATATTATTACTGAATGATATCCCGCTAGTAAGCTCTCCATTTATGACGACGGCGTGAAGCTAGCCGCGAGATAACGCGCAAGCGCGAGGAGCACTCAAGAGTCATCCCTCGCACTCGCGTCTTCTTTCGCGTGCTGTTCTCGGGCGACTTCTCGCGCCTCCCCCAAATGGAGAGCTTGATGGCAGGCTAACTGAATGATAGCTGTAGTTCTTCTCAAAGTTTCGCCGTAACAATCACGTTCAAACCGAAAAATTATGGCAAAAAATTCGTCATAATTCAATGCCCATGCAGCAGGTATTTTTTTCCTAAGTTTCCGTGAAGAGGTTTGGCGAGAATGTTAAGAATAGAATCAAAGTCAAAAAGACTACTGCAAAGGCTGATCAAACAACGCGTAAAAGGCTGAGATATACAATATTTCGACCGGCCAAAACCAGTCTTCATCAGGTTATTAGGGAAAAACAAGAATATACAAATTATATACTAATGACATGGTAAGATGTGGCTGCTAAGAAAAAATAAACCGAAAAAAAGATAAAGATTACACAATGATTATTGTTCTTCACGTTTGTTAATTCCCAGAGGCTCGATGGTTTTGGCTTTATGAATGAGGTGCGTCTCACGTGCTTTCCTAAGACAATCGCGTTCATATCTAAGTGTTTCAAGTGTGATAAGCAGTTATGGGAAATAGAATGGCTATTGCTGAGAAAGTTTTCTGAAACTACGGTTTGGATGTAACTACCGGAGGGGTTAAGTATAGGGCGTCTATGTTCATTAAAACGGTCCTTGAGGCGGCGTTTGGTTTGTTAAATGTGACCCTTTCACTCATTTCATTAATCATGAATAGTTTTCTTTTCCTAAGCACAGGGATTTTTCTATCCCCGGGACCTTTTTTTGTAGAGCCCGTATTAAAACCTGATCGGGCTCTCTAATATCTCTTCAAAATTTGACTGATGTCTTAAAAACGGAGGAAACCGTGCGCTGTTTCAGGCCGAGCCTGCGTAGCCTGCGAACTGGCTCACTTGTGCGAATTCGGGGAAAATTATTTTGGCGGCGGAGCCGACATCCAGCGAGGAAAAACCCATTCAGGTCAACCCGCAAAATTTTTCCCTGAACTCACAAAAGTGAGCCTGCTCGATAAATTGCGGAGAGAAGACACGCCTTCAGAGCATGTATCTCATGTACCATATATGAAGTGATTACTGCGGATGTCCTTTATTGCGGGCTCACGTGCTTTTATTTGGCGCCAAAGTGAAGAATTGACTCAGAAGCAGAAGTTTGGTTTTGGATAGTTTCTGTACTCTCTTGATGTTTTGAAGGATTTCCTTGCAGTAACATGAGTTTGTGGGTAGATAAATATCGTCCTACCTCTTTATCCAAGTTAGATTACCATAAGGATCTCGCAACTCATTTAAAGAAATTGGTAAGGGAGCTGTTTACGAACATTTCGTATGATCTCCGACACATGATGGATCGAGTCATTTTAAGCTTATTACGAGTTACAAACTAACTTACAAGGTTCGCTTGGGTAACTGTTTGTGATTTACAATTCATCCTTGTTTTTTATTCTTTTTAAGGTGCACTGTGGTGATTTTCCACACTTACTGGTTTATGGCCCCTCAGGGTCTGGAAAGAAAACAAGAATAATGTGCATTTTGAGGGAACTTTATGGCGCTGGTGTAGAGAAATTAAGAATTGAACAACAGAATTTCACCGTACGTGTATTGTGTTCTATAGTTTGATCTTTTACATTTAGTTAGTCTATGTTCTATGAATGGTTGCTCTGACCAGCTGTACTCAGTACCGCAGGCAGACTGCCCTCTGTTTATCTCGCAATTCGGCTGCCTGTGTTCAGTACAGCAATATTGAGGTCCTGCCAGGGGGGTCCCATGCCGCCTGTCTGAATGTCAAAACGTCCTGTGTCGGTGTTTATGAATGCTTCACATTGCGGTCGGAAATTGGACAAAAATTCTTTGTCTTTGTTGCAATTTTAGAAAAGAGGGATAGAAACCATTACAGTTCTTCAATTTCTCAGTTAACATTTCGCGTATTGAACACCACACTTGTGTTGTGATTTCATTTTATGCTCTGTTGCTACTTTTTGGGTCATGTCGCTTGTCAGAATTTACCCTGGCAGGGCCTCGATATTCATGTAAACCTATTTTTAAACACCTGGCCTCAGTTGTACAAAAGGTGGAAAGGCTATCAACTGGATAAATCTCTATCACTATCCAGTGGATAGTGCAATTGGTTTCCCTAATACATGTACAATGTAATTATGCACTGGATATTGATTTATCTGATAAAGTGCTATCCAACGTCTGAACAACTGGGGCCTGTACATATGATAAATATCTTGCTAAGGCCCTGTTTGCACTAGGTAAAATTTTCTTCGTTTTGCCAAAAAATCTGTCAGCAGGAAGCCATTTCTAGTGCGAATGATTTTGTTCACCGACCAATATTTTCCAAACTGTCACCAAAGTTCAAAGATGCCATTGAGAAGATTTGAAGGCCTACCATTTTTTGTCGGGCGACAAACTCTGTTGTTCCTTGAAAGCTATCCTTCGTCGGGTCATCTTATTTTGCGTACATGACCAAGTTCCTTTACTTAACATTTCTGGTTAGACAAAAAATTTCTCACATCTCAGATGCAAACAAGGTTGTAAAAACAAAAAAATGGTGAGTACAAAATTTTCAAGATTTTTTTTGCAGATGCACAACTCTCTTTTTTGTTGTAGGGCAAACAGGGCCTAAGTTAGTTTATTTTCCTTGCTGCACTGTAAGCTACATTATGTCACTTTTTGGTTTGCAATGATGGCTCACAAGCGCTGGGTCTATCTGATAAAACTAGGTTTGTAGTTCGTAAACGTACAGTATGGACTTCAAACTCATGTATATAAAATCTTTTTTTTTTCTGCCAGACACCTTCAAATAAGAAGATTGAAATGTCAACAATTGGTAGTGCTTACCATTTAGAAGTCAATCCAAGGTAAAATTATCTTAAAGTTAATTTTCAATGCCATTGTATCAGACCTTGCTAAAATCAATTTTCTTGGCTTTACAGCCCATCAATTAGAAAAGCCTCCAGCTAGGATACTGGCCCAAAGGAGTTTCTCTTCATTATTTCTTTCCTTTTAATTTCTGTACTTTTTACACATCTATTAAAACTACATGGTTACACTAAATATTTTACCAAGAGATAAGACCTTTTACCTGATAGAAAGAATAAAAATGCTTGCCTTACTGGTTTTTCCAGAGATAGATTTGACTATGGGACATAACCTTGAATAAATAATGTTTTGAGTTAGCACATCCACGTACTGGTTTTTTGTTCACCATTCCTGGTCAAATTAGAACTTGGAAAAAGTGCTGGTTTTTGCGGAGAGGGGAAAACCAAAATATTTGAAGAAAAACCTTATGGAGCAAAAAAGAGAACCAAAAACAAACTTAACCCACAAAATAATGGCATCAATGTAGGGGTTAGACAAATTGCAGGTGGTGAGTATTGCAGGAAATATACTGGAAAAAGACACTTTTGTCTTGGATACATAACAGGGTTCTCATTAAATTTTAAAAAAAAACTGAATTGGTGGTATTTGATGAAAGTTTTTCCCAATCATGTCCATTTAATAGCAACAAAAATTTCCAAGGTGGTGAGTTTTGAAAGGAAATATACCCCAAAAAGACACTTTCAAATATCTTGGATCGGGCTTTCTTTTGAATACAAACCCAGGGCTTTCATTAAGTTTTAGGGAAGAAGACACGTTGTTTAGAAAAATGTTGTCCAAGTATACAATTTTCTCAACAGTTTTGTCCAAGATTGTAGGATGTAAAAGTAGGTGGCTTGGTAATTAAGTGCTGTAGGTAATTTCCGGCTTTCTCTCCCTCACTTGACGTATTTTCCCCCAAAAGTAGACAGCTCAGACCTAGAAGTAGCAGGTTGCTGGCACCTAATAAGAACCCTGAAATCCACACCATTATAGAAATACTGAAGGAAATTGCTTGCCAAGAGTTTGTGCAACCACATCTAAAATCTCCCTAATAATTCGTATTTCAGTGATGCAGGGATTTATGATCGTGTTGTTGTCCAGGAACTTATCAAGACTGTTGCACAGTCACACCAGCTTGAATCATCAACTCAAAAAGAATTTAAAGGTACATTTAAAGTCAGCTCTCTCTTAGTAACATGGACGTCATTGAGGACTTAGCACCAAGTATCCATCTTAGGGAGGTGACACCCCTATAGAAAGCTTTTATATTTATATTTATCTTTTATTATTATTATTACAATACTTCCGCACATTACAGTACACCTGCAGGACATGTGCCTACATTACTAAAAAGAAACAAATAAACAACAAAAAAAGACTCTAGACACATCTACATGCACTAATAATATTACGGAATTTGCCCAGGTCACATTTGAACAAGAACTCCCTTCAAGATCAAGAGTGAAACAACAGCAAACAGCTTCAACCATTGCTCCTAAGGTGCAACCATTTTGGTCACCATGTCAAGTGGAACAAAGTTTTGGCAACTAAAAATGACAGAACAGAAAAGTCGTCACTTTGGCAACCCATGTGTAGGGATCGCATGCCAGGGATCAGTGTTTTGATGAGTTAGAGTATATGGCCCTTCTATTATAAAAAAAGTCATATACATTTGCATCGAATATTAATTCATCTTGTAATTCATCTCTTTTTCACCATTGGTTGAGGTATTAACACTTTGTTCTTGACATGTCACATACACCAATTCAGCTAGCAAAGAGGGTCGGTGTAAGAGGTAAGGTTTCACTTAAGCACATCCCTAAAGCTGAATGCTTTTCACAGTTGTAGTTTTGACTGAAGTGGACAGACTAACAAAGGATGCTCAACATGCACTTCGGCGGACCATGGAAAAGTACACAGCAACATGCCGACTGATCTTGTGTTGTAACTCAACAAGCAAAGTAATTCCTGCAATTCGAAGTCGTTGTCTGGGAGTCAGAGTTGCAGCACCTACAATAGAAGAGGTAATGAGTTAGAATCCTGGTTACAGGCTGTACATATACTGTGTAACTAATTCAGTCTGTACATTCCTCACTTACAACACTGACCGTTCTCCATGAATTACAAAGGACCTGCAAAACTGAGTGGTATACAATGTAACACCGACTGCCAATACCTATGATCCATTCACAAAAGTTGACACCTTTCAGTTGTTAGATGGTGTAGATCTTGCGCCGTTCCCTAAGATGTCACTACATTTGTATTTATTTATTTATTTATTTATATCTCTGCCATGCAAGTCCAAAATTCAATAATCAGGGTTGTCAAAAGTAGCCAGCTGCCGGCGGAAATTGCCGCCTACTTGGTTAGTATCGGCCGGCTACTCTGCTTGGCATTTCTTTACGGATGGCGTTTTTTAAATAAAATTATCCCTGGACTGGCCGCTTTACTTTGACAACTCAGCCGTCTACTTCAAAACTTCCTGACAACCCTGAATTTTACTGAATATAATAAAGGACTGCTAATAATTATACAGTGGATGCTGTCCCTCAAACTTGAGATGTCCAAAAGTTGTGTTTCACTGCCTATACAGTGTACATTATACTATTGAACACTCCGATTAATATTATTGTGAAAAAAACTTATATGCCATGTACATGTGGATTGGAGTTATGTTATAAATTAAAATAGTTGTTATTAAAAATCTCAGTCCTTTCATATTTCACAACTCCCCACCAAAACATCTTAAATTTTGATTGGTTTGTCTCTACTTTATTAAACCCTTAAAGTTGTGAAGAATTTGTAGGAAATTTGTTGTGACATTCTTTGGAACATTTCTTTACCTCATTATCTCTCTCCTTCAGATCTGTCAAATCTTGCATAATGTTTGCAAGAAAGAGGGTTTGACTCTCCCAGCAGAGCTATCCAAGAGAATTGCCGAGAAGTCAAACAGGAATCTTCGAAGGGCCTTGCTTATGTGTGAAGCCTGCAGAGTTCAACAGTATGTACTAGATAAAACCCAAATTAGCCCTCTGGGTAGGGCTGTTCACCTTTCAACATGCATCCTGTAAAATGTTGGACACTTTCCATTCAGTCCAAAATTTTGAATGGAAATCAAATGGAACAGACCATTTCAGTTCGGTCTGACCAAATTATTTGGGACAAAGGTGGTCTGCATTGACTGGTCCTACCAGTCAGACTGAAATGTCTCTTTCCATTTAACAAAATTGTTGTCCCTACACTGGTGTCCTGTATTCAGCTTAAGAGTAACACAATCATACATGTGGTGGCTTGGGTCAGGTCTGTGCAATCAGAATGTGGAATTTCAAGCCAGAACTTCTTTTAATGGTAAGTGCTCTGTTTTTCTTCAATTAGGTATCCCTTTACCCCAGATCAAGTTGTACAAGAAGCAGATTGGGAAGTCTACTTGAAAGAAACAGCGCAGCAGATTGTGGAACAACAGACACCAAAAAGGTTAGTTGATAATTCTCTCTTAACATGAACTTCTCAAGGCTGGGAAAAAGCTTGAATTCCAGCTTGTCCCTTGGGCAAGCAGCTCTCAGGGTCACTTTTTGCTTCTCTAAGTCAATGATTTACATCTAAGTAAAGGATGACTTACAGGCTGTACCTGGATTCTTACCTGTTGGATAATTGAGCTTTTTAAATTTACATTTTTAGCCTGCAGTGCAGGTGTATTTTGGCAATGCGATCACTGCTTCTTTATGTTTGTATTGTTGTAGCCGCCATCTTTAATTTTATGACAGAGTAAGATTGGGGAGAGTACAAAAAAACAAACTAGAAATAGCAACCCTTAGAGTTGGTGCTAGGAAAAAGGACTTGCTCCATTTCCTCCTCTCTTTTGGAGTTTCAACACTTTCGAGAGCAAAAACATTTGCTTGCCCGAAGAAAATGCCTGCACTGCAGGCTATTAATTTTTACATGTACTTGCCCTGCAAGAATTTCTACTAGTCCTGAACTACTGGACAGGAATTATTTCGAGCCCTGGCTTCTATAAAATGGACACCTTAATAGAATTCTGTATTCTTTTTATTTTACTTTCTGTCACTGTGAGATGGACACTTACTGCGGGTAGTGATGGTGACCGTCTTAGAGAGAGGAGAGAGAGAGAGGATTTTACCAAAGTGTTGTTTTGCGTACTGTTGACTCTTATTTATTTGTTATCCTAGGGAGAATTAGAGGTCTGTTTTCGGGCTCATCTCTGGTGTAATATAGCATCACAGCTGACATAAAACAAAGAAAACAAAACATCCTTAACAATGAACCTAACCCTGACAATAGTCCATAAAACAAAGAAAACAAATAAATCATATTACACCGGGGATGACCCTATTTTCACAGCATATTACGAGCTAGCAGCATAAATTAGTGTTAGTTTTAGCCTAGACAGCAATTCAAGAGTCTAGGGCACAATTGTTACAATTGTGTTTGCGATTATCCTACCTTACTACTACTGGTAAAGGAGAATCACATAACAGTGCACTGGCCAAGTGTACAATAAAATTTAGATCTAGTATTATTATCATTTTTTTGTTTTTATGCTTTGTGTTGTATTTATGTATTTAGGTTGATGGAAATAAGAAGCAGACTGTATGAACTGCTCACCCACTGCATTCCCCCTGATATCATTTTAAAGGTAAGCACAGGTTTCCCAATCAATCAAACCTCTCTTAAAGAACACAAAATGTAGCCTGTGAGCAAGCTCTCCGGGGCACTCTGGCAGCGGGGTGGGAAAAGGAAGGAGAGATTGCAACTACGTCTCTGGAATTTGAATTTCGCCTCCAATTTCCCTGTGGCTCCCTGTCAACTGAGCTGTCAGATTTCCGCCAATCAGCACGAAGCGGAAACAAGTGCGAATGTAAACAAACATTGAAAAGCACGTGAAAGCATGTGCCAAGGGTAATGAGGTTATTACTAATGTCATCTCCACCAATCAGCACTTTGCATCGACTTTTTCGACGCAGATATTCAAATTCAAGAGCCGTAGTTGCAATCTATCCTTTCTCTTCCCACCCCGGAGAGCTGGCTCGCAGGCTACCCAAAATACAAAGATTTGACATGTCACTTACTGTGAAACGGTTTCTTACAACCTTTTTGAAAGGTTCCAGCTACATGTACAACTATACATGGTTCAGCTGGAAAGGCTGTTTTTGCCACAGTTAAAACTTCACATGCAATCATCTTTTCAAAACGCCAAAATTTTCGACTGCATTGGACAACCCTTTTAAAAATGTCCCAGTTACATGTAAATCACTGTTAGTGTAAGTAGGACCTTCCTTAAACAACAGTGAAATTTAAAGAAATATTTTATTTTCAAGGGCTTGATATCTGAATTAGTGGCCAACTGTGATGGCAGTTTAAAAGCCGAAGTAACAAGTATGGCGGCCCACTATGAACATCGCATTCACCAGGGAAACAAAGCCATCTACCATCTGGAGGCATTTGTGGCCAAATTCATGAGTATTTACAAGCGGTTTTTAGAGGAAGGCATGGCTGATTTGTTTTAGGAGAATAACATCAGGATATGCTTGAATTAGTTAATGCTATTGTAATGACACTGCTAGCATGTTGATAAAATGAAAGAAGTAGCTTGATCACAAAGGAGTAAATTGATTTCAGTTAAGCAGTGTTTATCTCCCTCACTCTAGGACTCTTGTTTGGGAACGTAAATTTAAGTTTTATTAAATACCAACGTGTAACTATTCAAAAGAAAATCAAACTTTTACATGGTACTTTTACTTTCTATGGAGTGCTTTTACTTGTGTTTGTCCATAGATAAAATCCTATGGTGTGACCATAATGCCATTGAAATGAAACTTCTTGGGTAGTCCTTTCACATGGTACTATTTTGTTTTGTACTATGTAGTACCAACGTTTTTGTCCGTTGATGAAATCCTATAATAATAATAATAATAATAATAACTTTATTTATCCTGATAGAAAACTGATCAGCTGAGCACAGAGGACCAGCTAGTATTAATAGTAATCAAAAAACATTATAAAAGAGTTATGTATACTAAAGATCTTTAAAATCAAAGGTAGCCTAACACAAAAATTAAAAATACATGTAAAAATCCAAAAAAAGAAAAAATAGTATTTAGCAGTACAGACGTGCTGTTTTTGATCCAATTCCAATAAATACTTAAAAACCTCAGTTTTAAAACTAGAGATTGAACCAAGTTCTCCTAACTAATTCGGAAGATGGTTCCATTCCTTGGCAGCGGCAAACTTAAACAATGACTGTCCCATCGCTGAGGACATTGTATCTCTTAAATCTAAGTGAGTCGCATCCCTAAGACATCTTTCAGTTGTGTAATTGTGATCTCTTAACTAGATCTTTCTAAGCTGGTCGAGACAGTTGACATTATGAACAATTTTATAAACTAACTGAAATCTTAGAAAACAGCGTCTACTCAATAGCGATGAAAGAGCCAACTTCGTACGCATGTCCCGAGTACAAGATTTGCAATGAGCAGCTAAAAATATTAATGATACGCATTGCTTGATTCTGTGGGCGCATAATGTCTGTTTACCACAGTCTCCCCAAACTATACACCCATAATCAAATATAGGTATAATGTTTTGCCTGTAAATTCTTAACAGAACATTTCTACTTAAAAAGTATGAAATCCTATTTGACATCTACAGTTTGGGATAAACCTTGAATGATATATAAGAAATGCGATCATTTCAGTTCGGTCGATTGTCAACGACCAGTCCTAAATAGTTGAAGTGTTCGAATTGTTTCAAGGGTTTATCATCAAGCATGACTTGTAGTTCACGAGCAGTCTTTACAGCATGGTTTGTGCCTATAACCATCATTTCAAATTTCTTGGTATAACTTATTATTATTGGTATTACTTATTATGGTGTGACCATTCAAATGAAACCTTCACATGGTACTATTCGATTTTCAGTGTGTGTCAAATGGAGTTGGAGAATGAAGCCACTGTTCAATCAAATGTGCATTTAAAAGTTGTGCAGCAATAAAAAGAAATGATATTCAAAGATGCGTCATTTTGATTTTTAAAGAATTTAAAAGAAGGTATCTCTTGTAAGAACTGCTGAGCGAACTGCGCTGTAGATTAACAAGGTAAAGTGTAGGTCATTTTCATACTAGTTTGCTGAGCTCCTTCCTAAACTTTAGCAAGTCAAACATGTCTGTCAGTTTGAGAGTGCGCTCGATGCATCTATAGAAGTAATCAGGACATTCTCCACGGAGCTCTTGAAGATCTATCAGCGTCTGTCCATTCATCTCTGAAATGTCTTCTTTGCATACCTTTTCCAATCCGATTTCTTTGAACCACTGCTTCACATCTTTGTTAGTCCAGGTAGACACCCCAGGGGATGAGGGTGGGGCAAGAAGATCTGCTTGAACTGCTCGAACTGCTGGTTCGGATGGTCCATCTGTCACGTCCAACTCCTTTCCTCTTCCCCCTAGCTCTCTAATTAGTTTCGTTACACCTTGTTCTAATACGAGTTTATTCTGAAAGTCAAACCACAACTTTGTTCCCACGAGCATTCCCAGCCAACCGTCTCCTCGGTATTTGCGTTGCATCATCAGCGGAATGATATCTTTTCTTAACTGATACGCGTACTCCGCTTCTGAACGACAGTTTGGGCTCTCCTTGTATCGTTCTGATACGCAGATAAGGACGACAGAAGAATCCTCCACAGCTTTAGCCATTGCCTCCAAGGTCGATCCTCCCATCTGCTCCAGATCCATCCATACTCTGTATCCACTTGCTTGAAGCCTGTTTTTCACTTCGACGAGCACTTCCTGGGAATCCCATTGGTAGCTGATCATCACGTGATTCCCGGTCGATTCTATCTTCTCTGAGGATTGCCTAGCTGTCTTCCCTTCCAGTTCCCACAATGCACCTGCAGCAGCCTTCTGCACTTCTGAGTTCTTGCTCTGCTGTAACTGGTGTAAGATGTCCATAGCCCCTTCTTCTTGTCGTACTTTTTCTTTGTTATTGTTATCAAAGGCTAACATCCACAACGCTCTTGTAGCACTGGCTTTCTCCTCATCCTCGTTCGACGTTTTGATCACTGAAATCAAAACAGGAATGACCCCGTTTTGTCCCAAAATATTCTTATTGGCGTCGTTGATAGCCAGGTGGCTAAGGCCTTCTGCGAGTTCCTTTGCGGAATATCCATTCGAATGTCGATCTTCTGACTGCCATGCCTCATCTAATAATGTTATTATGAAGCTAAGCAAGTTCTCGTCCGCCAAAATGAGATGATTCGTGTTTTCATCAACTAAATATGCTAGAGTAAGCAGAGATTCAGCTGCAACTGCTGGAACTTTTTTCTTAGCAAAGTAAAGCAACGTTTGCTCACGGTTAGCAAACAGCTCACGGTCCCTCAGTCGCCGTGAAATGTTATGCAGAATTCCAATAGAGTTGTCAATTATTGTAACTAGCTCCGAGTCTTCATCTTCCTCTTCCCAGTTGGAATTTTCAGCATCAATTTGTTTGACGATTTCAAAGCACATTGAAATGATACCTGCACCCGCACACGCTGAGCAAAAACCTTGATGAAAGTCTGAGAAGTTTTGTATTGCCGCTAGAGAGATGGAAAGACAATTGTAACATGTGTAGTCGTCAGTTTCTTCTTCATCGTCGGACTCTTCATTAATGAGGTAGCTGAACTTCTTAAAGCAATGCTGTACGAAACGTTTCAATTGTTCAGCACCACCGACATCAATGGTGAATTCGATAAGTGTGATGAACTCTTTTTCCTCTTGAGTCCCAGCGGATTCGAAAGTGTGGACACTTGTTTCAAATAAACCCTCGATCGTCTGTTTACCCAACGTGGCATAGTCTTCAGGGTCATTTAAATTTTTAGCAACAAAGTTTTTGAGAGCTTGTAGTCTTTCAAGCATTGTTTCTAGATCCTCAGCTTGGTCTGGATGTTTGACTATGTACGTTTCAAGAGTATCGTTGGGTGAAGCTTTCTTATCAGCAATGGTCTGACTTGTCCGAGCAACATCAACCTGCTCTTTTATGTCCTTGTTCTGTGCTTTGTGACTGAAATGTTGATCTTGGACAGGAATCTTTGGTTGAACCGTATCCTTTACTGGCGAAAGGCTCTCGCGTGGCGGTGACGGTATTCCTTTAGAGTGGTGGTTTTTCGATGCTCCGGCACCCATAGTGATACGAGGTTTTTAAGATATGTCGACCTAAACAATGTAAATCGGTAGCTGCGGTCAAGCAAATCAAGACAATATTGTAAGTGAAAAACTATGTTCTTTTTGCCAGCATTTCAGCGCTAGATTTCGGTTTAACTATCCATCTGACACATGCCAGTGCTACGTACGACCTATTCATGTCTGCTGTACCGAGGTTTCGAGAAATTAGCGGAAATCGTGGTGGATTGTTAATGCATCTTGACACATTATCGATTTATTTACACCCTTACGAACCACTCGTTGCCATGCAAAAATCGCGTTACCTGACGGGGTCGCGTTGACGTCAATTACAATAACGTTGTCATAGAAAAATGCTAAAAGAAAAATGAAAAATATAAAAAAAATGAAAATTTAAAAACTTACTATTAAATAAGAATTTATTACGCCCCAAAGACTCTTTACTATTAAACAAAACCACTTAACATACATTTTAGTATTTAAACGGTAGATATAGGTATTTTTATCCCCTAAAAACTTTTCATCTGCCCTAGCTGAAAAGATCAAAACTTACCTTTTCTTTTGCAGCCTTTTTTAGGGTAAAATGAATGTAATTATATCATTTTGTACATCTGTCTAGGGAGAGGCAGGCAAGGTTTATAGATCTCAAATGATTCAATCCCGAAAAGGTTGCCTACATCTGTTAGGAGCTGATTCAATGGGCTTTTGGGAAGCTATTATTTGGTGTTCACTCAAGTAAATCATTGCACCGTTCCTTATGCCCGAATGACCATTTACCAAAGCAACCTGTTTTGATTTAGCTGTATAAGCAGGCCTAATTAATTCCCTATTTGTTTTTTCTTCCTTCTTTAAGACTCTATCTTTCCTTTAACTATTTTTCTAAGACAAAGCTATTCAAATTAGGTGTGCATCACTATCCATCCGTGGAGCGCGGAGACCCATTATCGCATAATTCATTCAATAGTTATTTGTAAAACTGAGTTTCCTAGAAATTTTGCTGAAATGGTTTTCTCTTGTGAGTTTTCGTCAACGTTTTAAACTTGAATAATTTGCTAATTGGGGACACTGAAAATGCTAAAATTCTCTAAAATTTAAAACTAATATTATTTTGCAGTACTGAACAACAGTTTATCTCCTAAAATTGCCGATAAACAGGCAATTGAAGATGAACTTCATCGATAGAGGTAAGCATGATTTAGCTTGTTTTTTTAACTAGGAATTATTTTGAATGAATATTAAAACAATCATTGGATTCGCCTTTCGTATTATCTCAAGAATTATGGAGATCTCAGAGATCTCAGCTAAATCGGCCTCGGCTGATAACACCCTCCTCGATCTCCATAATTCTTTAGATGACGGTCAACCTCGTCCGATAATAGTTAAATCATACAGGGACTGCAGTTGTCATCTATAAGATCTAAAAGTTAATATATCGCAAGCTGGACTTGTAAAGTTTCTAATCAAAGTTTACAAGGTGAACACGAGACAAAGGGAGCAAGAAAGATGATGTCTGTAACGTTTATTCTAAAAATTGGGTTAATAAGGAAAGCTGTGGGATAATACGCACATTTGTAAGTCGCTATTAACACAGAGATGTACAAATGTCAGTTGCTTTATTCGTAACACAGTCCTTAATCATACTGGTGGTCGGATGGCTCGACCTTAGAACTGACTTCCTCAGCTTTCATTGTACAGTCCCAACTTGTTTTGTGGAGTTCGGTCTGGAACTTTAGAGTCGCTGCTACAATATTTTTCTTAAATTGTATACTATTCATAATTTTGACTTTTATCATGTACATTAAACGACCCCATAAGCTTTTGCTTTCATTTTCATCGTGTTTAAATTAACTACTGATGATGATGATGATGATGATGATGATGATGATGATCATGGTAGTGGTGGTGGTGGTGGAGGCGATGATGATAGAGTTGACAAAGTTGATAGAGTGAAATGGTCGTGAAACCTGTAATGATGGTCTGTTAATACCCAGATAAGTGCAGATAAACTCAACAGGTTTCTTTAATCTACACCAGCGAGCAGGCTATGTTACAGTACCATGATTCTTTGCGCGCCGATAACTCTATATAATAGTAACGAAATGTCTAAACACTACAAAACCCGTGAGTCTTCCTTGTTATAAGTTTTTGTGGATTTGAAGGTGCACAACGTTCAATAGCATTTCTATCATTTTGATCTTATTGACCAATAAAAACGTCACATCAATTTGTGAACAGAAACAAAGGATTGTCACCGTCAGGGAGGGGGGCTTATATTTGGAGATGCGATTTAACGGAGGGTTTTTTGCGTTAGGAGTTTAAGGGGCTTATACATACATGGAGGGGCTTTCTGTCGGAATTTTACGGTATTCCGTTAAGACTTTGCAGTTTCTTATTGAGGATGGGATCTTGTGGGTTTATATTCCTCTAACCGTCTATATGAAGGCATGCCCTCACAGTGTAGGGCTTTATACACTAGCTTTAATAAATGAAAATCTTTACGGTGATGTATGGGTAATCAACCTACTTTGATTAAAAAAAAAGAAAGGTTAAAAAAGAAAGGAAACTTGTCAGGCAATTATCATACAATATATTTTTGCTGTATAACTTAAGCTTGTCCCAGTCCAAATGATGTATTCAATGATATATTTGTTATTAATAAATTTTTTTCCACTTTTCTTTATGGTTCAAAATGAAAAGGGATAGTAGTAATATTTTAAAAAGAACACACTTGAGCAAATTTGACAAAAAAAAAAAGATTACAGGATAAAAAAGCTTTACCCGCAATCTCTAATAAAATCATATACCTGTCAAAACGAAGACGTTCAGACCATTAGCTATAAATGCCTTGAAACGAGTCTTAAATATAAACGGGTTCTATCGTTACCTTGCACGTATCGGTAAATTGGGCGTTTAACACTCATCCCGTTTAGTATCCCAACAGCTTGCCCAGTTCTTTTCTGAATGTGAATACATCGACCATGTTCGACAAGTTCAAGTTCTTTTCTAAACATCTGTAGAAATACTCTGGGCATTCACTGCGTACTTGTTGAAGGTCAATCAACGTCTGTCCATTTACCTCCGAAATGTCTTCCTTGCAAACCTTCTCTAACCCGATTTCTTTGAACCACTGTTTGACCTCTTTGTTAGTCCAGGTAGACACCCCAGGGGATGAGGGTGAAGTGGCAACAATGTCAGATTGAACTGCTTGCACCACTGGCTCGGATGGTCCATCTGTCACGTCAACAACCTTTCCTCTTCCTCCAAGTTCTTTGATCACTTTCGTTACACTTTGTTCTAATGCGTGTTTACTCTGAAAGTCAAACCACATCTTTCCTGTCACGATAATGCCCAGCCAACCGTCTCCTTTGTAATTACGTTCCATCATCAAAGGAATGATATCTTTCTTCAAGTCATAAGCGTACGTCGCCTCTGAACGACAGTTTTGACTTTCCTTGTATCGTCGCGAGACACAGACAAGAACAGCAGAAGCATTCTCAACAGCTTCAGCCATTGCCTCCAAGGTCGATCCTTTCATCTGCTCCAGATCCATCCATACTCTGTATCCACTTGCCTGAAGCCTGTTTTTCACTTCGACGAGCACTTCCTGGGAATCCCATTGGTAGCTGATCATTACGTGATTCCCGCTCGATTTCATCCTTTCCGAGTGCCTAGCTGTCTTTCCTTCGAGTTCCCACAATGCACCTGCAGCAGCCTTCTGCACTTCTGGGTTCTCGCTGTGCTGTAACTCGTGTAAGATGTCCATAGCCCCTTCTTCTTGACGTATTCTTTTTCTGTTATTGTCATTAAAAGCTACCATCCACAACGCTCTTGTAGCACTGGCTTTCTCCTCATCCTCGTTGGACGTTTTGATCACTTGAATTAAAACAGGAATGACTCCGATTTGTCCCAAAATTTTCTTGTTGTCGTCGTTGACGGCCAAGTGGCTAAGGCCCTCTGCTAGTTCCTTTGCAGAAAATCCATTCGAATGTCGATCTTCCGACTGCCATGCCTCATCTAATAATATTATTATAAATCTAAGCAAGTTCTTGTCCGCCGAAATGAGATGATTCGTGTTTTCATCAACTACATATGCTAGAGTAAGCAGAGATAAAGCTGCAATTGTCCGAACTTTTGTCTTAGCAAAGTGAAGCAACGTTTGCTCACGGTTAGCAAACAGCTCACGGTTAGCAAACAGCTCACGGTCCCTTAGTCGCCATAAAATGTTATGCAAAATTCCAATAGAGTTTAAAATTAGCTCGGTGACTTTATATTTTTCTTCCCAGTTGGGGTTTTCAGCATCAATTCGTTTGATGTTTTCAAAACACATTGAAATGACACCTGCATCCGCACACGCTGAGCAAAAACCTTGGTGAAAGTCTGAGAAGCCCACTATTACCCCTAGAGTTTCAGAAAGACAATCGTAACATGTGTAGTCTTCAGTTTCTCCTTCATCGTCGGACTCTTCATCGTCGGACTCTTCTTTAATGAGGTAGCTGAATTTCTTAAAGCAATGCTGTACGAAAAGTTTAAACTGTTCAGCGCCACCGACATCAATGGCGAATTCGATAAGTGTGATAAACTGTTTTTCCTCTTGAGTCCCAGCGGATTCAGATCTGCGGAAGTTTGTTTCAACTAAACCCGCGATCGTTTGTTTACCCAACTTGGCATAGTCTTCAGGGTCATTTAAATCTTTATCAACAAAGTTTTTGAGCGCTTGTAGTCTTTCAAGCATTGTTTCTAGATCCTCAGCTTGGTCGGGATATTTGGCCTTGTATTCTTTAAGAGTATCATCGAGTGAAGCTCTCTTATCCGTACTGGTTCGGGCAACATCAACTCGCTCTTTCATTTCCTTGTTCTGTGCCTCGTGACTGAAATGTTGATCTTGGACAGGAGTCTCTGGTTGACCCGTATCGTTTAATGGCGAAAGGCTCTCGCGTGGCGGTGACGATATTCGCTTAGAGTGGTGCCTATGGCCCTTTGTCGATGCTCCAGCACCCATAGTGATACGAGGTTTCTAAGACAGGTCGACAGAAACGATGTAAATCTGTAAATGCTGTCAAGCAAACCGAGACAATATTGTAACCGAACTACTATGCAATTTTTCGCAGCATTTCAGTTCTAATAAGATTTCGATTTAACTATTAATCTGACGTATACCAGTGCTTTGTACGACCTATTCATAGACAAGTCTGCTGTACCGACGTTTCGAGAAATGAGCGAAAATCGACATGGATTGTTAATGCATCTTGACACATTATCGGATTATTTCAGCATAGCGAGATGGGTGTGACCTCCGTGATAAACGAGAACTTGTATGCGTCAAAGAACTGTGTAACCAATAGCACCAAAGAGTCTCTATTTCACTGACCACTTGCTGCCATGCAAAAATCGCGTTACCTGACGGCGTTCAGTGTTTTGACTTCAATGCTTCTTATGTCTCCTTTAAAACTATTCCACATACACCTAAATTGCAACAACGTGGTCATAGAAATATTCTAAGAGGGAAAATGAAAAATGTAAAATTCCGAAATAAGAATTAATTAGACTTACTAATAAGCCACTGTAGGATGTATTTATTTTCAACGCACGGATACACCCGTCGCATTTTCATTCGCTTTTACGCCCCAAAGACTCTTTACAGCAAATGAATGCACCCTACATCTGTCTAGGTTTATAAGCAGGCCTAAGTAATCCCCTACTAAAAGAGTTTTTTTTTCCTTGTTTCCTTTTTTTTTACTATTTCTTTTTAAGACGAAGTTATTGCTTTCACTATCCATCCGTTCCGTGTAACAAGAGCCTTTCGCATAATTAATTCAACAATTACTTTGTTAAACTGAAGTTTCCTACGAATTTCGCTGAAATGGTTTCTCTCATGACTTCGCTGGCAGTTTTAAACTTGTCTGAGTAACTTTCCCTGCATTTAAATCTCAATATCATTATGCATCCATGCATACCTCGCTTTTTCTTTGCAGAATTGTTTACCTTCAAATGTAAATCTGTGTTGAAATTCGCTATTCATCACGTGGCGTGAAATAGACTGAAAGGCGACCGACCGAAACTGGATCATTTTCTTCGAGTTTGACTAATAGTCGCGGGTCGCGGGTCGCGGGTCCAATGTCGCGGTCGCGGGTCCAGTGTCGCGGTCGCGGGTCCAAAGTCGCGGTCGCGGGTCCAATGTCGCGGCAGGGGAAAATGATTTGGGGTTTCTAGGTAACAGCTAAGTGAAAACGACTGATATGAACACAATATAAAGGGAAAAAATCTTTTTTATGCACGATACTCTACGGTAGCTTTACGGTAGCCAATTTACAGGTTACGGATGTTAGAGTCAACAAAATAATGTCTCAAGAAAAGACCTAAAAGAAAAAGCTGGCCGACTTTTGTGTTCACCGCAAGTTCATTTTGTTTTCTTTCTATCGGGCCCAGTTGCATAACAGTATATGATAAAAAGTGTTACCAGGAGTTACCATAGTTTTCTTCTTGTCGATGAATTGCTCACAATTGCTTAGGGGTGCATTCACTGAAAAATGTGCGATACACTTCATAGACTATAAATTATAAACGTTACAACAACTTAAAACCTTTTTTAAAAAAGGCTAACTCGGGTTCGAAAAGCTACGAGTCTGTCGGTAGAAGAAACGAGAACTGTTTCAATTTTAACAAATGTTTTCGGCAAAAATAAAGAAAACGCTTGTTGAAAAACGTCCTGGTCGCAAACTCCCAAAATAAACTCTTTGCACAAGTAACTGGATAGAGGAGGAGAGACGTTGGGCTTGAAGTGCCAGTAAAGTACAATCAAGCGGGTATTCGTCAAGGCATGAATTTAATATAGAAAAAAGTAATAATCCACAGCAAGAGGGGATAAAGCTCGCGCTTTATCCTCTCTTGTCCACAGAAAGGAGTTTGTTCCCACTAACGATTGAAATCCGGAATCCAAGTTCTACCAAGAGAGAATAGATCATAGTCTCTTGGTTCTACTGACAAAGACTTGAATCCAGTACCTAGAATCTGGAATTACTTACCCAATTTATTGTCTTTTCTTAGCTCTGGTGGAGTTGATTACTTACCGTTTTCAGTGTCTGGTTTACTTTCTTTTTCAGCTTCATGATATCGGGCGTTATTATTTCCTTACCTACTTACTCACTTAGTTACGATGCATGTTTTCAAGATTTGACTGAGACGCACATTGAATGGCTTCCTATTGTCAGGTTGTCCTGGTTGCCATTCAGGTGAAGAGAACAAAAAGGTATATTGAACACTCTGGGTTGCCGTCTAAGTTGTAAAAATAAAAGCATTAAGCGAGAATCTTGCTTCGAGGAACAGACTCCTTTCTGTGGATTATTACTTGTTTCCACATTAAATTCATGCCTTGAATAGCGCTTGAATGAAGTTTCATGCGCCTATTTACATTTTCTTTCAGTTTGACCGAAAACATTTGTTAAATATAAGAGTTCTCGTTTCTTCTACCGACAGACTCGTAGCTAAGTTGTTGTAACGTTTATAATCTGTAGTCTATGAAGTGTATCGCATATTTTTCAGTAAATGAACCCCTAAGCATTTGTGAGCAATTCATCGACAAGAAGAAAGCAATGGTAACTTTTTTATCATGTACTGTTATGCATAAGTTTATTCAAAGCTTAATTTACACAACTGGGCCCGATAGAAAGAAAACAAAATGAACTTGCGGTGAACACAAAAGTCGGCCAGCTTTTTCTTTTAGGTCTTTTCTTGAGACATTATTTTGTTGACTCTAACATCCGTAACCTGTAAATTGGCTACCGTAAAGCTACCGTAGAGTATCGTGCATAAAAAAGATTTTTTCCCTTTATATTGTGTTCATATCAGTCGTTTTCACTCAGCTGTTACCTAGAAACCCCAAATCATTTTCCCCTGCCGCGACATTGGACCCGCGACCGCGACTTTGGACCCGCGACCGCGACATTGGACCCGCGACCGCGACCTTTGGACCCGCGACCCGCGACCCGCGACCCGCGACTATTAGTCAAACTCTTTCTTCGAGCGTTCTGCCGATATTTCAGTTCATTGGGGTTAATACGTCTTTAGGAAGAACTCTCTCTTACCTTTATAAAATATATTTTGTATTTAAGACAAAATAAAGTTTCAACAGGAACTCTTAATTAATTTAAAAACAGTCTTTCGAATTATTTTTCATAAAAAAAGGCTAACTTACTAGTTACATAAGATCTGGTAATAATACACTGAAAATGTTCTCTTTAACTCGGGTAACTATAGAGGTGATCGATCAGATGGTTCGACCTGTAGAACTGACCATACACTCCAAACTGGATTTGTGACGTTGGGTCTCAGCTGGAACTTCCGGGTTGCTGTTGCAGTCATTCGACAACGAACGACAGGGTTTTATTGCGAGAAATATTGGAAGGAAAACTTTACTGATCTATTTAATGATATCTTATGTACAGTCCATTTTTAATCTTATCTATTTTAATGATATACGTGTTATCATACAACTTTTAGTCTTTTTTTCTCTTTACCTTTTTAATAATCATTCGATACATACATTTCAAATTTAAAAGAATACACTTGAGCAAATTGGAAATGTGTTAAATGATTAGTTTAAGAAAAGCTTTCCTCGCAATCGCTCATCCTACGACTACAAACACTCTGAGCAGGCCTATTATACTTTATCGAAGACAACCAAATGGAAAATTCAAAACATCAGTGCTAGTAACTGCCTTGAAACGAGTCTTAACTCTAACGGGTTCTAGCCCTATGGAGTATGTAACGGTAGATTGGGCTTACAACACTCACACCTATCGCTCACCAATTGTTAAAATAGTCTAACAGGTCACTCAGTTCTTTCCTGAATGGACCATGCTCGCCAAGTTTAAGATCTGTTCTAAACATCTGTAGAAATACTCAGGGCATTTATTTGTTGAAGATCAATCAACGCCTATCATTAAGCCGAACAGTAATATACTAATAAACTGTGGCGTAAATATGTAAGTATATCTAAGTTCAATGGGGTTGATTACGTCTTTAGGAAGAACTCTCTCAGCTCTTACCTTTATAAAATATATTCTTTATTCTTTAAGAAAAACTAAAGTTTCAACATTAACTCTTGAAAACAGTCTTTCTAATTATTTTTCCTTTATGTTCAATGATCTATGGCAAAATTACTAGTTACATAAGATCTGGTAATCACTGACAATGTTCCCTTTAAACTCCCGTAACTATAGAGGTGATCGATCAGATGGTTCGACCTATAGAACTGACGTTAAACTACAAACTTGATTTGTGATGTTGGGTCTCAGCTAGAACTTCCGGGTTGCTGTGGCAGTCATTCGAAAATGAAGGACAGGGTTTTATTGCGAGAAATATTGAAAGGAAATTAGGCTGATCTATTTAATGATATCTTATATGTATAGTCTATTTTTAATCTTATCTATTTTAATGATATACGTGTCTTTTTTTCTTCCCTTTACCTGCATAGCACTTTTTAATAATCAGTCGATACATACATTTCAAATTTAAAAGAATAAACTTGAGCAAATTGGAAATGTGTTAAATGATTAGTTTAAGAAAAGCTTTCCTCGCATTCTCATTGATGGCCACGTGGCTAAGGCCTTCTGCGAGTTTTTTTGCAGAATATATATTCGAATGTCGATCTTCCGACTGCCATGCCTCATCTAATAATGTTATTATAATGCTAAGCAAGTTCTCGTCCGCTAAAATGAGATGATTCGTGTTTTCATCAACCAAATATGCTAGAGTAAGCAGAGATTCGGCTGCAGTTGCTGGAACTTCTTTCTTAGCAAAGTAAAGCAACGTTTGCTCACGGTTAGCAAACAGCTCACGGTCCCGAAGTCACCGTGAAATGTTATGCAGAATTCCAATAGAGTTGTCAATTATTTTAACTTGCTCCGAGTCTTCATCTTCCCA